ATCTCAGCATTCAACAGATTACTTTTACACCAACGATACCCGCCCGTGAACATGAGATCTTTGGATACCCAAAGTTCTATTTCTGGCTTCCCGATGAAGTACAGTTAGTAAACCAGCAGCAATGCGAAATCGAGTTGAAAGGGACTACACCAGTCACTTTAAACATTAAGGCAACCTGCCCTCAAAACACTCAAATTTCCACTGGACTTCGAGCCATAGTTCCACAGAGATCTGAAATCCACGACCCGTTTTGGTTGCGTGCTAATCTTCCAACAGTATGGGTACGTATACAAAATATCAGAACGATTTAAAAAGAAACGAAAAACTTCAAAGCAGAAACAGCTGTTGTTTTCGTCTTGTCCCGAGCGTGGGAAAAAGAAAAATTCTGAGTCCCCATGAGGTATCGAATCTCATACCTTCGGATTCCGCGCTCCGATGCTCTAACCACTGAGCCACAGTAGAATGATTATCGGAAACGTTACCTCTTATGCAAGCTATCGATTTCATGTAAAGTATCAATTTCATTGAGATCAATAGAACTGCAAAGCTCATGTTTAGTGACCATGGTAAACAAGACAATAGTCGGAAAAATTCTTTAAACAATGAAAACCTTTTTTTCCTTTTACTCGAAGAAGAACAAACACTTAGAGGTGTGCAGGACAGGAGCTACAAAATCTGTCACTTTTGTAAAGGTCACTCCCTCCAAAGGGAGAAAAACTTATCCCGATTTCAAAGGGGCATTTTGTCACACTCGATATTTTTACATCAAATTCAAGACTTTTGAAACCGTGGTTGACAAGCAAAGTCACATATATCTCGTTTAAAGAAGTCTCTATGCAAATCGTCCAAGATGACAGCAAACTTTTGAAACGATTTCATATGATCATTTATGGCCACGACTAAATGTTGAAAAGTGTACGTTTTATACAGCTATAATCAATACGAAGTCAACTTGGATAGTTTTAAAAGGTCTTATGAAGGCAGAATGAACTATGGAGGGATTTTAAGCGCTTTTAGTTTTCATTTGCAGGGGGAACAAAGGATTAATAAGAAAAAAACTAAGAAAGAAGAGCACAAAATCACATAGCATGCTTACGTAATCTTTTCCATTTCAGGTTACTATTTTACAACCACCGGCTAATACCATAGAAACATGTACATCGATCACAGATCCTCATTATTCGTCTTTTGGAGGGTTTGTAAAGACTGACTTCTTGCCGATTCTTTTTTCTTCAATTTGTTTCTTTTCGTCTTGTCTTTTTTCGTTTTGTCTTTTTGTTTGTTAGTTTGTTTTGTTTTGTTTTGTTTTTGTTTGGTATTCACTCGATTCACGCATGATTCTTAAATTTCATATAACTTTAAAGATGGCTGCAAGGAAACGAACGGAAAGAAAATAGAACAGTCTGTGTGACAAGCTGTTATTCCTTAACTGAAATTAAGTAAAAAACTGAGACAAAAAAGCAAAAAAAAGCGAAAAAAAAAAAAAAGAAAAAAGAAACAAAAACGAACAGGAAGAACAAATTCGTGGCGTAACAAAAGAATATAAGTGAACTAAATTTCCCAAAAGGCACCCAAACAGAATCCTAACAAAGATGCGAAAAATGATTGAGACTCAAGTAAAGCTCAATCATTTTCCAAACAATTCTCGACCCGTAGTTTTGCTGTTCTCAGGGGTATGTATTGTGGTATGATAACGATAACATAAATCCTGCACAGAACATCAGGTATAGATTAAACAAATAATCAGCTGTCTTTGTGTGTACATGTGTCCAGGTATTTCGATTTTATGGGCCTTGGTGACTTTATACTTTACAGGAATACGGAAAGGAACTTTGAGGTAAGGAGTACACTGATAAATTTTTAGAAAAATTATTTTCACTTGTTATATTGTAATCGTTATTCATGCTTTCCAAAGAGCTAAAGGAAAGATGCGTTGTCATTTTAACCACGCAGAGCTTTTGTTTTTTTTGCAATTGGTTGCAATTGGGAGGCATTCTCGACGGTTAAAGTTGAGTAAAGAATTCGTTTTAACTTCAGACGGCTATCTTGCATGGAAAGCTGGCTTATCGGAATAGAAACAAAAAGTGTCACGGGGTTTTACATATTCTTTCGCTATTTGTTAATTGAGCACTATCAATAATCATGAGGACCTCGATTTTTATAAGAACAAACTGCTTTGAGATGACTGATTAAAAGAGGTTTTAAGTGTTTGAGGGGCATATAATGAGATTGGCACAGTGCAGGCCAGGCAAATGTGAGATAAATCCATCCACAAACTCTGTTGAAGCTGTTTATAATGTCAGCAAGTCTTTGACCTAAGAATGTTGAGTCGCAACTAAGGGGAAACTAGCTGCGAGTCGTACCACGCTTTTGCTATTTGAGTCAAGGACTCTCGACCCGTCTTTTCCAGTATTCTTTACGTTCTCTACTTAAAGATATCATCTTCTCTCGTACTACTTACTTCTACTATCGCGTAAAAAACTTCTAAGATACATGCTTATACAAAGATATTCACCATCGGAACGTATAAGTGGGCATGTTGGTCTGGACTTCGAATTTAGACAGCAAGTTCATGCTAAACAAATGCGAATGGCTAGATCATATTGAACTAACTTACTGAAATACTTCATCACAGTTAACAAATTGCATGAAAATTATGAACTCCATCAAAACTGTCACTTTTTATAGGTTCATACGAGGCAGTGGTCGTCTAACGGTATAAAGCCGGAAGACCACCAGCCCGGACAGAGAAGAGTCAGTTGCAATTGTGGTGCAGTCCTTAGAGATCACAATGACGTGATTGAGTTCAGCTGTTGCAACGATTTTATGCTTCGGGACGACACAACGCCTCTTACTGTCAAAATACGAAGCAAGAAGTGCTTATCTCCTGGAATTTCCATAAAAAAGGTTATACCCGGGAGCAGTAGCCGATATGAAGTAAGCAAATGACTGTTATATATATATTTATATATTTTTTTCTCTTTTCTAATAGTTATTTATAACTGAGTTGCTTCACGCGCTTCATTATTTAACAAATATAGAAGCCTTGACTGTGCTCTGTTCTGTTATAAAGCACGCAGGAAGCGGCTAGAG